ACTAACTTAAGGATTTGTCAAATTGATTTTAAAAAGGAAGGGAAACATCGTATAAAGCAACAAAAATACAAAATATCAGAGGATCTTAAAAGATCTGAGGCACACAAATTATTTGAATTTATAGCTGATTGTGTTGATAAATTTTTATCAGAAGAATTTGACAGTGATTTAAGCATGGGAGAAAAATTAAAATTGGGATTTACATTTAGTTTCCCAGTTGAACAGACAGCCATTAACAAAGGCAAGCTATTACACTGGACAAAAGGTTTTGATTGTCCAGGTGCTGCTGGAAAAGATGTAGTATTTATGTTACAAGAATCTTTGAATTTTAAAGGTGTTCCTGTTGAAGTTGTTGCTTTAATCAATGACACTGTAGGTACTTTGTTAGCACATAGTTATAAACATCCTAATACTCTTCTTGGTGTTATCTTTGGTACTGGAACTAATGGTGCTTTTTTAGAAAAAATTTCCAATATTAAAAAATTAAAAGACTTTACTGACACTGAAGAAAAAATGATTGTTAATATAGAATGGGGTGCTTTTGATAATGAGGTAAATTATCTAAAGATATTTGGATAGATTGATTATTTTTTAGTAATTGTAATTATAACAGAGGATAAAAATTTTTCTATTGTGATTATTAGAGAAAGGTATTACCACTCACAATGTTTGATAACAAACTTGATCGTAAATCAATTAATCCACGTGAACAAATTTTTGAAAAGATGATTTCTGGAATGTATCTTGGGCAAATTACACAAAACATTTTATTAAACCTTATAGATCGTGGATTGTTATTTGGTGGATTTTCTTCTCATATTTTCAATAAACATTATTCATTTGAAACTGCTTACATGTCCACAATTGAAGATGACAAAAGTCCAAATTTAGAAAATACAAGAAAGGTTCTGGAAGAATTATTGAATATACCAAGCACCACATTGACTGATAGACAAATTGTTAAAAAAATATGCCATTTAGTAGGTTTACGTGCTGCAAGGTTATCTGCTGCAGCATTAGCTGGTGTAATTACACATTGTGATGTCATAGAATGTGGATGTGATATTGGTATTGATGGTTCATTGTTTGAGTCATATCCAAACTTTAAAGCTCATATATATGCTGCACTTGGAGAATTGTTTGGATCGAATTCTGAAAAGATTGTGATTAACGTGGCAAGGGATGGTTCTGGCGTTGGTGCTGGTAATTATAAATAACATTGTTGTTAATTTTAAGTCTTTTATTTAAATGAATTAATCTAATAATAAAAATTTTTTTTTAATTAACCAAAAATAGGATTGGCTGCTATTTTAGCTGCCCAAAAATCCAATAGGTAGTATTTTCCCTTCCTCAAAATAAATCATTTGTATAATTACTATATATTAGTTTTTTTTTTCAGAAAAAAAATAAAATAAAAACCGATTTTAAATTGGTACAAGTTTTTTATGTCGTATAAAATAAAAATAAAACATCAAAGATGTTAAAGGTGTCAAGAAAAAAATTTCACATTTATTTGTATTAATTCGTGAAGTTTACATTGATTGATAACAATATATTATTAAATATTTTTAGAGCCGCACTTTCACTTAGGTTATTTATTTTTATTTTTATTTTTTTGAAAAGTAACCATCAATGTTATATAATTATTAATAATGTAAAAATTATTTTTTGATAGGATATGGTCATTTGTTTTTTGGAAATATACATACATGCTCATTTGGTTGATCTTTGTTTGACTGTCGAAAAGGTCCAAAATTATATGTTGAGAAATGTTGGTGATTATGGATGAAATGATGTCTCGTGAAGGCTTAGGTACCTATAGAATTGGTGTTAATAATATAGCAACAAGTACTTTTCAGTAACAAGTTTTGTAAAATAAAAAATGCGTTCATTTACAATTGCTATGAATTTGTTATCTATTACTATGATTTTTATTATTAACCACCACTAATTATACTTTTTTTTATGACACTAATCTTTTTTCGCGATTGTGTCTTTATGTAAACCTTACTATATAGAACTTCTTCATCATTGAATGGCCTTTTATCACATATTTCTTTTGCAGTTTTCTCTCCTATTACTCTAATTGTTTTTTAATTCATAATCCTCAGCAGTATTGGCGTCTAGTGTGTCATTAGCTATGTGGACAAATATAAAAGATCGCTGAATTAGTATAATGATATAAAGACAAAACACCTGAGTTATCAACCCATCAAACCATACCTGCAGGATACTCAGCACGACTAGAAAATGTATACCCATAGAAATCTTTGAAGTTTTCATGATCTACCACAAAACAATTTCCTGATATTTGATTCTAAAGCATTTGCTGTACGACACAATTTTTCGCTAAATATGGTGAAAACGTTGATTGCGCCAAAAACCGAAAAGACCAGGCGCGGCTAGACGCAAAAGGAGACAATCGGCGAGAAACCTGCACGGAAGTCGCATGACTTGCAGGTTTTGGAAGGAGATCGTGACACGGAAAATGTTAAATCTTTTTTTTTGTTAATTATTATTAATATATATCACAGGATTACAGCTGCGTGGTGTTTATACCGGATCCACCGTGGAACTCAAGAATTAAAGGTTTTGAATAACAGGATGAGGAAATGGCATCTTCCTTATTATTTATGTATTTAAATTACAAGGAATCATTACCGAGTACAACTTTATGCGCAACAATTATTAATAAAATTATTAGAGAATCAGCAGACATTCAGGCGCTTGAAGATGATCTAAGGAAAGAGAAAACCGCTTACAAAGTTTACCAAGAAGGGGAAAATAATAACTGCCGGAAAAGAAAGAAATCAAAATGTAACTGAACAATTTCTTGATAAAATTTTTCAGCTGAACGAAACCTCCCCGGACGTTTCGTGTCCGCATTCCTGCCCCAAGAATCGACAAAATCAAGTGTCTTCACGTGCATTGTTTACACGGGAGAAATTTTCGACAAAAACCAATATAGAGTGGCGTTTCAATTTTTTTGAAACTTTGTGCATCAACCCACCAAAAGACAAAGACAAAAAGATCATTCTGGGAGAAAGCTGAGATAACTTCATCTATATACATTAATCACACGCTGTCAGTATGTGCAAGATTACGAAAAGAAGCCTAGCTGTATTAGTATAAATATGAATTTGGTCTGTAGAAAAATAAATTAATTATGTATGACGTAATATTCTTTTGGGAGTTTTGATGGCTTGTGATATCAACAGGTCTAGAACTATTTTGTACTAAAGTAAACATATAGAAATAATTCAAAGAAGAACTGAGACCTTCTTTTTCAAAGTTTTATATTGAATTTACATTTACCGCCAAAGAAATATTCAATATGGCATAATAATGCATTTGAAGAAATTTAATAAACATTTAAAAAACCCGATACTATCATCTTAACTATATAGAAAAAATGTTTAGATGAGAATCAATAAAATCTGCCCACAACAATAATAAAATGACTATGATCATCATAATATTATTGTTACTATTTCATTTATTTATTTTAATTATTGCGATTTACTTACCAATTAAAAATAATAAATATTTACAACAGTTCTATATTTAGTAATTTATTACATTCATTAGAATGTTAGTGTAATACTTATGAGGAACCATGTTTCTTTGCAAGTTATGCACCAATCACACTTTCTTTATTTATTATGTTACCACCTGACGTTACAAGATGCAATTAATTTCTCAAAGCAAAGTTCAATGTTATTCTTTCTAAACAAAGATTGCTTGAGCCGAAATGATTTTAAATTCCGAAAGATTTGAATTGAATCTTCTCGAAGAAAAATAAACATTCATATTTTTGAATTGGGTCACCATATATATATTGTATTATTTTAAGATCACGATCACGTTATCGAGGATTGTAACGGTTGTACGAATTGAAATTAAATTGTTATAAATTAACTAATCCTTTCACAAAAAATGTAACTTTTTCGCGCTAAAAAAAATAAAAAAAAATTAAATGACCTTACAATTTTACTCTAGACTTTCGAGTAATTTTTATACTCTATTTGAAAATCCTGATGATTATGACGTAATAATTAATGTTGGGAAGGGTTTGGAAATCAGACAGTTTCAAGCACATTCTCTCATCTTAAGAACCAGGTCTGAATATTTTCGAGCCGCCTTGTCAAAAAAATGGGCAATAAGACACGGTGAAAGTTATTTATTTGAAAAACCTAATATAACTCCAACAGTATTTGAAGTCGTACTTAGGTACGTTTTTTTTCCTCTTTAAAATAACACACACACACACACACACACATATATAATATCATTTAAATTATTATTATTATTTTAAATATAGGTATATATATACCGGAAGTTTTACTTTAGATAAATTACACGATAGAGATATTTTAGAACTTTTAATGGCAGCCGATGAATTAATATTTGAAGAATTGATAAATCCTATTCAAGATTACTTGTTACAACACAATCTTAAATGGATTCAGGAGAATGTTTTGTTTGTTTTGAATAGTGTTATAGAACGTAGCATGTGCAGTAAATTGAGATCACACTGCCTGACAATAGTTTGTCCAGGGCCAAGTAAATACTTTGAATCTGAAGAATTCCTTAACTTGGACGAAACAACACTTCTGTCATTATTAGGTAGAGATGATTTGTGCATGGAGGAAGGTGAAATTTGGGATTATTTGATCAAATGGGGCTTAAAGAATTCTGCATCCATAAAAAATTATAATGTTTCAAAATGGAACAGTGAGGATGAGTTTGATTCTTTAGAGAAAACCATTCAACGATGTATTCCTCTAATAAGATTTTGGCAGCTTTCTACTGAAGTGTTTAATAATAAAGTTAGACCATACAAAAGAATCATTCCCAAGAATTTACAACTACGTTTATTACAACGCTTCTCAATTGTAAATAATATCAACAACAATAGTGGTAGTAATAGTAGTAGTAATAACCCTGATCATGATAACAACAACAACAACAACAAAAATAATAATACCAATGGAAATGACATGTATTTCTTTCCAAATATAAAAAGATCAATCTCTGACAGAGCAATTGATTCTATTATTATTACACATCAACATGCTGCTTTGATAGCATCTTGGATAGATGGAAAAATAGTTACTGAGGAACAAATACCAAATAACATTTTTCCAATTTCATACTATTTCAGGTAAATGAACTTTTTTTTTTTTTAAAATAACAAAATAATAAAGGTAATATATTAATTTTTTAATTTTTCTATATTTATGCCACAGATTGTTATTTCGTGGGAGTAGAGATGGATTTTCAGCAAAAACATTTCATTCAAAATGTGATGGGCAAGGTGCTACAATAGTAATTGTGAGAATAGGTAATTCCAAAGAACTTATAGGCGGCTACAATCCAATTGGATGGTCGTCACCAAAAGATGTGGAATGGCGTGGTACACTTGATAGTTTTATATTTTCATTAGGAGAAGGTAAAGTATTAAGCGAGGCTAAATTAAGCAGGGTTAGGAAAGATTGTGTTGGGGATGCTATACAACTTCATGAAAAACTCGGACCTTCTTTTGGATTTTATGAATTAAAAATAATTGACGATGCACATGAATGTGGTTCTAGTTATGCATCAGGTGGTTTACGTTATGAAAATAAAATAAGAGATAAGGGTAATTATTTTGGAGTAGACGATTATGAAGTTTTTCAAGTGTTAAAAAAATAATTACATACTAGTCTTCCTAAAATAAATTATGATGAACATTTTGGTTTGGACTATCTATTATATACATATATTAATATATGTATACATACATACATATACATGTATATATGTACGTGTATAAAGAAATTGCATAATTTCATGACCATTTGCATATATATATTTCTTTGTATAATTTCTTTATCTTTTTTCTTTTTTAACTGCTTTTTTTAATGTACAGATTTTTTTTTTCATTTTCCCAACTCATAGTATCAATATATATATTCTTTAATGATAATTAAACAGTTACCTCTTTTATTATTATAAAAAAATCAAATTTTTCCGGTACAATTTAATTTTGTAAAAAAAAAATCATCATCATCATCATCATTCGAATAAATAATATAAATAATATAATCAAAATCAACCCTTAAATTGAAGAAATTTTTAATTTGCCCAAAACTAACATACACTGCTAATGGATTAATTAATTAATCTTATTATAATTGAAAATAAAAATACTGAGGAATAACCATTGGCGCTATTGTGATGTTATCTCTAAGTTGTTGATTTATTCATTTCGTCTAGTTTTATTACAATATAATAACATCAAGTAGAGAAAATTCAATCAATTAGTTTAATGAGAATATTTATAAAAATTATAACATATTTTAACTATTTGCTGTTAGTTTAGTATCTGTCCTGATTTTATCATAACTTTGATATCAGGTCTTCATTAAACTTTTTTAATATATGGTTCTTAATTTATATGAAAAAATTATTTTCCACTAATACATATGTATATATGTATATATATAATATGAGAACCAACATTTATATCTTTAAAAAGATGATAAAGAAAATTAAAATAATAATAAACAAGTTTTTTATAACTAACCTTCAATTCAATCAATCAGTCCATTATCATCATCTTACGACAGGAAAAGATTCTGTAGCCGGAAAAGTTATTAATTCTTCATCAGAGTCATCCTCATAATTAGTATTTAATTTGAATTGTTGTTTAATCCTAATTAAAAATTTCATTTGATTATTAATAAGTAAATAAATGATTTCATAAAAAAATTATAACATACATATCCGGTTTTGGTGCAAATATTTTAATTTGTCTAATTCGAGTATCTTTGCCATTCTGATGATTGGATTTAATTGCAATTTGAAAAAGATTTGCTCCTACTGGATGGCTTTCCTTACTAAAAAATACAAATATAAATATTTATAAAATATTTATTTATTTATTTATCGTCACAAAAACTCAATTAAAATTATAATCAATAATTGACAAAACAAAAAATACCTTAATACTTCATCACCACTTATTTGTATATCAATCCAACCACAAGGCCTATCCAATTCAACCGTTCGTAAATCCTAAATTTTTAATTAGTCGGATAAATTTTATTCTCTGATCTAAAAGTAAATATAAATAAACGTGTATGTGCGTACCTGAAGATCTCCAAAGTGTGTGCCTGCTCTAACAGTTATTCTATTTGGTGTATAGCTTTCATCATTTTTATAATCAACCCAAATTGATATTTGCTTTTTATTATTTTATTATTTTTAAATGATAATATTATTATATACGCTTTTTGAGAAATGTATATATAAAAATGAACTATTATTATTAATAAAATATTTACCACTACAAACACTTTTTTATGAAACTGAATATTAACAAAATGTGGAAGTGTTCCATCGGATCTGATTACAATGTTAATACATATTATATTGATCCATTAATGATATAGATAAAGGTAAAAAAACATATTTAAAGCACAATAAAAAATTACATACTGCCAATAAGTAATATCACTATCATCACGTAATTTATCAATGCCATTTCCCAACTTCCAACTTGATAATGACCAAATTGCCAAATAACCAATTTCAAATAATTCTATTGTTATTCATTTATATAATTAAGTAAAAATAAAAAAAGTAAAAAATAAATTATTTATAGATATTATTATTATTAATGTGCAAGTTTACCATCATGTCTAAATTCGCTTTTTATAAATTTGTCTTCGTTTCTCATTGAATCAATATTTTCACTTACAAATCCATCCATATCATCCATTTGTTCAACCTCGTCGTCGTCACCGAGATTTACCAGATCATTCAAATTATCATTCATTTTTTTATAAATTAAAGAAAATCAACGCGTAGTAATAAAACGTACAAGGTTACACCAACTGTGATAAAATTCACCAGACGAATTTGTATTTCAGGGTCTATATCATCATAGCATAATGGACATCCTATTTATCACAAAGTGACAAAATTGAACGTCGATCTTTTTTAATTATTTTAAAGTAAGAAAAAAAGAGGAATATTGGTACAAAAAAACTGATGCACCTTGCATATTATTTTTTTATATTGATAAGTTGTTTATTCTTTTCTTTATGTTTGAGCAAAATAAGATCCTCAGATCTTGGTCCTATCAAAAACTAGATGAGAAACAAAATTTTTAAGACGCATAACATAATAATAGTAGCATAGTAATAGTGGGTCATAAGTAACATGACTAAAATGCATTGTAACAACAAAGAATGTTTTGCAAGAACATACCTTCCTTTGAAAGCTTTGCTTGGTTAAAAATAACCCAGTTA